CATTTGTTAACTCTAGTAAGAATTCCTGGTGGTTATTTTAAGTCACATGTTACCATAGATCAAGAAGTTCCTAGTTGTAGAGTTCATTCTTGTGAGAGGTTACTGGGTGGTGGCAGGGCCATCAAAGCTTAAGTCCCAGACCATGTGTGGCCCTTACCCAGCCCCACAGCAGCGAAGGACCAGGTGAGGGTAGAGAGACTGGATGTCTGTTCCCCCCATATTCTTATATTGACACCTAATCTCCAGGGGAATAGTGTTGGGAGTGGGGCCTTCATGAGCAGGATCAGTGCCATTAGAGACCCCAGATAGCTCCCTTCACCCTTCTGCCGTGTGAGGACACAGCGAGGTGGTCGTCCATGAGCCAGGAGGGGGCCCTCACCAGACACTAACTGCCTTGATCTCAGACTTCCCAGCCTCCAGGCCAGTGAGGAATCACATACTGTTGTTTCTAAGCTGCCCAGGCTATGGCACTCTGTCACAGCAGCCCAAATGGCCTAAGATGAGGAGCAAAGGACCTGAGCCCTCCCAGCCACCAGCCCCTCTTGTTCAGTACCCTGCAGGTGGGCGTCACTGGGTCCAGATGCCTACCAGGCTTTCTTGACACCCCCCTGGCTCCCAGCAAGCACTGATAGATCCCAGAGTGGACTGCCCTGGTGGACGTCTCCCTCGCCGGAGCCGGAGAAGTCTGGTGCCCAGAAGCACACTAGCCATGCGGACCATATGCCCCATGAACCTTGAAGTTGAGCTTTGCTGGCCTTGGAAGCCAGATGTCCTCAGTTGGCATCACCTGCTGTGTCCCTGTGTCCCAGGCACTGCGGCTCCTCTTCCCAAAAGCTTTATGAGCTATAGTTCACATACCACACAGCTGACCCTCTGCAGTTCACTGCTTTTAGGAGTTCAGAGTTCAACAGCCATCAGTATAACCAACCTTAGGACACCCTTCTTACCCCCAAAAGAAGCCCACCACCCCTTCCTCATCACCCAACCCCTAACCTCCCTGTGCTTAGGCCACTACTAATCTCCTTTCCATCTAGACTTGCCTCCTGGGAACGTGCCTGTGGAAATGGAACCATGCAGTCCCCAGGGCTTCTTGGCCCTTTCTTGTTATTCCCCATCATCCCTCCCGCACTCTCTGCCCCCTCCCCAAAGCCCCCAGACTCACCCTGGTCTTTGTTACCATAAGTGCCAGAAACCCTGCTAGCCCAAGTGTGGTGTCTGTCAGTCAATGCCAATGCTTCTAGAGCAATCACACACGCGACCGTGGCTGATGAAATCCCATTTCGCTCAGAAGAGACCCCCAAGAACAGATGTCCTCTGTGTCACACACTGTGACTTTTCCACCACTCAGGCCCTCAAGAGAGTGCAGCAGAAGTGGCTCAGTGGGCAGAGGGACCACAGTGAACACCTGACCGGCCATGCAGCGAGCAGCTGCAGGTGGCGTGGCCAGCATGCCTCCACCTGCAAGCCTGTGACTCCCTGTGGTTTTCCCTGACTCCCTGCCCGCTGTGTTCTAATCAGAAAATAAAAGGGGAGCGACTAGATGGTGCTCTGGACATGGCTTACACAGTACAGCTTACAGATTTGATTGTGAACCAGCTTCTCTCTTCTGCTTAGGAAGATCCCCAGGGGTGTTTAGGTTTTGAGGGGGTTTGTCCACTTAAACATTCGTTCAGCAGTTGGAGCTGGGATCTCTGAATGCCAAGGTGTGATGGGTCATGTTTATTTCCTGCTTCTCACTGAATATCAAATAGGGCCTCAGGGAGGAGAAGGCGTGCTCAGGATGCAGGGGGTAGATTCGGTCCTTCGGCCTTTTGACTCTGTAACTGGTGCTCTCCCTTCCCCAGTAAACCCGGGGCGTGCCAGGCCCTGTCCTGCTCCAGTGCCCCCTGAGAAGACCTGGCAATAAAGGGCTGCAAGACCTGGGCCACTCCAGGCAGTGCAAGGAGGAAGGCCCCAGGTGTGCTGGAGCTGACAGCACGGTGCGGAGCTGGCCTCCCAGCCTGGGCCGCACACAGAGGGACTCCTCCAGAGGAGGCTGGCGGCAGCTGACGCAGGGTTGAAGGCCTGGCTTCGCCATTGCCAGCTCAGTAACCGACTCCAGCAACCTTCCTGGGCCCCAGGCTGCGTGCCTCTACCGTACGTGCAGTTCTCCCTCGTGGTGGACTTGTGCGGAGTGAGTGGTTAGCTCGGAGCTGGAGGAAGGGTTGCCGGAGCATCAGGAAGCACTCAGTGGATGGCAGCCCCCCCATGCCCACTGCACGCTGCCTTTGTGAGGGGCCTGGCCTGGCAGCTTCCCAGGCCCTCCTTCCTCTCAGCCTCTGACCCATTCTGGGTACAGTAGCCCAGGGCCCCTGGCACCCTTGCTGCTGCACCATGTTCTTCCTCTACACTTGCTTTCTCAGATTATAGAAGTAGCATGTTACCCAGTAATTGGTGTACATTAGGAGCTGAGTCAGTGTTGGCTCAGTGAATATTGTGCCACAGTGGAAACAGAGTGGAATCTATAGATTATATATTACAGAAGAACATAAAGCACCTGCCACCCCTACCCACGGGAACAGGCTGTGGAATTGGGATGCCCTGTGACTTTCTGTCAGGAGGGGACCCTAGGTGGATGTCTGCTTCCCCCTGATGGCTTCCCACATCACCCCTAAGAGGCTGCCAAGTCCACCTCCTTGCTTTGGGCTTCTCCCAGATCCTGGCACTGCATCCACACCCCTGGCCTGGCCATTTAGGATGGTTAAGGTAGGCAGGGCACCCTGTTGAGCCAGCCTTGCCTGTTAGAGGAACATGGAGTACCTCTGATTTGAAGGATGACAAGAAGTCTTGTCCAATGTGCCTCCCCACACCCTGGAACCTAGATTCCTTTCCTAGGAGGAGTAGCCCCTGGAGCTATTAACACCTTAGTACAAATTAGTTTACTGGATCCTTCCTTTCTGAACAGAGAGGATCTTCTGCAGTGACCTGAGAGGAGGAGGGGGCAGAAAGGAGAGCACAAGGCACAGGTGGCTGGCCCCTACTCTGCTTGTGCCAAGACAGAGGCATCCCTTGGTTGACTTGTGCTCAATGCCTCTGCCGTGGGACCCACATGGAGTATGAAAAACAGCCTTGCTCTTTTGCGAGAATAGCACAGCTGTAATGAAGAGAAGCTGAACCCAGTTAACAGCTCAAGTCTGAAGGCCGTCTGGGGCCGTGCAGGTTTGGGAAGCAAACAGACCTGGGCTGCCTCTGGATTCTCTTCCTGACTTAGTGTGGCATTCAGACAGCTACACCCTCATCCTGACCCCAGGAAACTGGAGGTAAAGTTCCCTCGGGGGCGGCCATGAGGATGAAATGAGCTGATATGCATCCAGCACTGCCACATGGGCAAGTACAGGATGTATTCCCCATCCTTCCTGGGGAACCAGAACCCCAGCACCCCAGGCAGGCCCTGCCTCTTCTGATAGGTCACCCCCACTCCGCAGCTTCCTTGTCCTCAAAGTGCCTTCAGACTGGCTCTGGCCCACCAAGATCAGGGAGAGCTAGCTCCCTTCATAATAGGAACTGCGTAGATATTTAACACATGCTTAAAGCTAATCATTTTATATCTAGATTTAGGAAGACATGAGGAATTGATCTTACCTTCTGTAATTATTTTATATATATATTTTGTCCCCCATTATAATTATAAATGTCTTGAGGAAAAGGACCAATTTTGCCTCTCACTTCATTCTTACTGTAGCCTTGGGAGGTAGGTAATATTACTCCAGTTTTGTGGAAGATGAAAGTTCCCAGGAGTCTGGTGAGTGCCCCAAGCCACAGCTAGTGGGAGGCAGAGCAGCCCAGGGCCACACTTCTCCTACGCTAGGATCTTCTCTCGGCCTTCAGGTCAGACTTAGGGTCAGACCACCGTGTGGCCTTGGGAATGGCCAGAGGCATTGCAGACAACACCACAGAATGGTCTGAATAGCACCAGCTGTCCCTGTGCTAAGGGATTTCATTTTTGTACAGACCCAATGATCTTAGACTTTGTGTTATAAAAGTAAACAAACCCGGCCTTGTCCTTCTCATTCACAAGAATTCGTGCTTCTGGCTGGGGCAAGAGTAACAGAGGGTGCAGAGGATTTAAAAATACGTCTCTCGGTCTTTCCCCCTTCGGTAGGTTATTCTTAGAAAGAAATGGGCGTGAAACCCCAGGTGGCTGGGGAAATCACTCAGGCTGTGAGCCATCAAAGTTAGAAAGACCAACTGGACACCCACTAGGTCAGGGCAGAAGCCACCCTGCCTCCCAGAGCAGCGCACCAACTGCCTAGGAGGGAAGTGCCAAGGATGCCCATCATGTTAACACAAACCCATAAAGTGATGACAGATGTCACTGTGACATTTAAGAACTTAGTAAGGAAACCAGGACAAGAAGGATCTTAAAACCAACCACACAGGAAGTTTGCCACAAGTCTCAAGTTTTTTATTTTCAGAACAGAGGCTGGTTTTATTTTTAAAAAGAGAGGGGAGGGGCAGGGGAAAGAATGTGATAAATCCAAGGGAGGTGCCGCTTGCCTCCTTCCAGGCTCCAACTGCCAACTAGCTCTCGTCCACAAAATGCGTGGGACCAGAACCAGGGCATGTGTATCAGCAGCCTGCACACAGGTCTGGTCCAACCCCTTTTAAAAATGGTAAGGAGTCTGAGGCTCAGATGGAGGACGCATCTTCCTTGCTCAAATGGTAGAGGCAAGCAGTTTGCATTCTGGGACCAGCATTCCTTCCTGTGAAGTGTGCTGCGGCTATAAGCCTCTGGATAGTGCACCTCCTATTTCCCAGACCCATGGGGAACATCTCCAGTTCTACACTACACCACAGATGGCCCTAAAGCAAGAAAAACTGAGCTTTAGGGGACATTTCTTATTGTAAATGGGGCAAGGGAAGAAGTAAAAGGACTCAAGAAAGACACACCAGAAGGAAGAGGCTAACCCCAGAGCACAAAGTGCTTGCACCTGGATGTTCAGAAGCAGATGGTGGGGGTGGGGGTGGGGGTGGGGGTGGGGCGGCAGACAGAGCCTGAATGGGCCCAGCCTCTGCAGAACTAGCCTGCCGGCCATCCGCCTGGACATGCCCAGGGAACGGACAGTTTATGGGAACTTATCACGGCCTCCCACCAGAAACCCAACCACACTCAGAGACTGTCAGTCACTCATCAGGGAGACCACCATCCAAACAGAAGAAAGGGGTGGGGCAGGGGCCAGCCAGGGCTGGCCATGGCTCAGACAGAAAGTCCTTTCGCAGTCACTGAGATTAGGTAGCAGAGAAACAGCAAAGCTGAAGAGAGGACACAGGAACACGGAGCACCCATGGGGCCCATCCAGGGCCTGTGCCCCAGTACTTTGAGCACATGGAATTCAAAGGGAAAAAAAGAGAAGTCCAGAGGGAGATGGAGGGAAGGCAGAAAAAAAAAATTCATTGCAAAATCCAGCCAGGGGATAACTGGATCTGGTAGGGTGTGGGGCTGGGAACCCATAGCACATTGGGTGTAAACATCTTCCTTCCACTGCTCCCACTGGGAGAGTAAGGGACGCTCTGAAGAACTCTGGTCAAGGTAATTGACCATCAGCCCCTCTTGTGTCTTTGTGTGCAGGGATGTCTTGTGAACAAGCCGTCAAGGAGTTGGGAGAGAGGGGAGGGGCCCCAAGCAGAAAAATGGGGCCCAGAAAACAAGGGTGATGTGCCACTCAAAGCCCATGAGTGACAGAGTCAAAACTACAGTCCATGCCTTCTGACCCTTTGTCCAGGGTTCATCACGCACACAGAAGTTCCCTAAGAAGGAAGAAGGGGAAACAAAAATTCTAACAACCCCCCCCACCCCATCCTATTGCGGGGTGGAGAGTGAGTATTTCCTGGCCTTGCTGCCAACTGTCCTCCTGTGCCTCCCCTAAAAACACTTACCCTGCCTCAGAGACTCCCAGAGTGATGCCTGTAAGTGGGCTTGTATGTCTATAGACCACCGACACTGTCAGTAGGCAACCCCTGGGGTCCCTTGTCATCAGCCTCAATAAGACGAGTACCAGGAAGGAGGGAGGGTGGGGTAGCACTTGCCCACCCTGTTCCATGCATCCTGCCTTTTCCCTAAGATTCTCCTAACCAGAGCAAAGGACACAGGCCACCACCACCTTTCTCATCTATGCAAAGCTTCCAAAAGGAAGGAAGATGGGGGGATTGAATTTACTCCCTTGGGCCCACAGGAGGCCCAATTTCACATGTGTCCAGTATTCCCAACAAAGCTGTTGTTCTGAGCCAAGAACTGGCCAGCCAGCTCAGGAAAGATAGGAGTTCTGGGTGGAGGGGGTGGGAGGAGCAGGGAGGCAAGCCAATGGCTAATACTCCACAGACCCTGTAATAACACTGGCACCAACCCCCGCTGGACCCAGTGGTCATACTGAATGCAGCTTCTGAATATTCTCTCCTCATTTTTTCCAAGCAGCATCAGTGCGTGAGGCAACACAAGTTGAAAGCACAGAGGTAGAAATGCTCACTCACCCAAGGAAGGGTGTGGTTTGGTCCCTGGAGTAGGACCCTCCCCTCCCCACGAGCGGAGGGGAGAGGAGTGAGGCTGAGGAAGGTCCTGGGCGAGCCTCTCCCTTGGAGTAGAGCAACTGGCTGTTCCCAGGAGCCCAGCCCTTTCTGGGAATTCATGGCCACAGATTCAGTAACATGAGGCAGGTGGTGGTGTGTGTGGTGGGGAGCCTCCCCTCCCGAATCTCCTACCCATGGCAGGGGGTCGCCAGGTGGACTAAAGCAAACACCACCACACTCACACAGACACAGACTTTGCACCTGCCATCTGGAAGAAATCCAACGGACACATCAGGAAACGGTGGATTCTGAGTCAATTTCAAGGCTTGCTTGGGAGGACAGCCACTAAGCACAGCCTAGAAGAAGCTGACGCTTTCAAGCAGGGGGTAAGGCCCCCAGCACGCCTGCCCGGGCAGCCCCTGTCCTCCATTCTCCCTCACAAAGGGGAGGAATCGGGGTGGAGCTGGGAAACGCGAGTTGCAGAGGCACCCAGCCCCTGGGAGACCAGGATTAGGGGAGGGCTTGGAGAAGGGAGCCCAGAGCAAGTGTGTGCCCTCCTCCTACTGGCCGCTGGTCACACCCTCAAGCAGTCTTGTTCCGAGGGGTGCAGAAGGGCCCGCCGATCCTCGGCCCTATTAACAGTTACCTCTTCAGAACAGAGCCGGATCAAATCTGGGAGAGGAGGTCAGAGGACAGGGGAGCCGGGAGTCTTTCAGAGCGGAGCAAGCCTCCCTCCTTTGCGCCCCTCAGTTCTGGGAGGCCACTGCCAGGGTGTTGACATAGCCATGAGCGCCCCCCTCATTCTCTGAGATGCAGTGGCCCAGCTGGGAGCCTCCCTGAGGTGGGGGCGGGGGCGCCGGGTTAGAGGGCGGAGCACCGTAGCTCCCTCTCCCCCGACTGGGGGAGGCCCGACTTCCCCGGGCCCAACAGCCCTCCAGGGCCTCCAGGCCGCGGCAGCCGAGGAAGAAGAGACTCTTGAGCATGAAGACCGAAAGGGGCTGCTGGTAGCTCACCACCAAGAGGCAGCGCAGCGCCAGCAACGGCACATCCACCAGGCAGCCGCCCAGCAGGCGCAGGAGGCGGCTGCAGCTGCCGGGCCCCGCGGCCTGGCCCCAAGACGGGGCCGCTGCCGCGGCGTGGAGCTCGTACAGCCAGAGCACCGGAGAGGCTAGGGTCAGGAAATAGACGGTGATGAGCAGGTAGCGCAGGTGAGCGGGGAGCGGCACGCGGCCTTCCAGCATCAGCTCCACCAGAGTGAAGCTGTCAAGCAGATCCAGACACGTGCCCAGAAAGCAGCCAGCGGCGCGGTGCTCCTGGGGCTGCAGGAGCAGGGGTCCCGCGGAGCTCGGCGGCGCGCCCGCCTCGCTGATGGCGCGCACCAGGCTGTAGAGCAGGGGCACTGACAGCGCCATGGTGAGGCGGAAGCCCGTGGTGCCGAAGGGCGCGCGCAACTCGATGAGGTCCAGGATGGACGTGCCCAGGATGAGCACCACCTTGGGCGTGAAGGCGATGGAGTAGATGAGCCAGGCCAAGTAGGCGAAGGCGAACTCGCCCGCCGGTCCGGCTGCCCCCGGGGCGCCCCCCGGGCCGCCGCGGCCCCCACGCGCCTTGGCCCCTGCGGAGGCGGCCGCATGGTGGTGCTGATGGTGGCCGTGCGCGCTGCCCGCCGCGCCGCCCCGACGGCCTCGGCTGTTCTTGGTGAAGAAGATGGCCCAGCCCACCACAACCACCAGGTCGGTGGCGATCCAGGAGCACCAGTACAGGTCGGTGACGGCGATGAGATACAGGTCTAGCAGGCCGCCCTGCGCCAGGAGCAGCACCACGGACAGCGCCTGGTGGCCCCAGCGGCAGCCCGCGCCGGGGGCGCAGCCGCGGCGCCGACCCCTGCGGCCGGGCCGGGCGGGGCGGCCGCAGCAGACGCAGCAGGAGGTGGCGCGGCCCGTCCCCGCGCCGCCCGCACCCCCGGCCGAGCGCCCCCCAGGGCCCCCGACGGCCGCGGCCGCAGCGCCCCCGCCGGAGTCGGCGGCAGTCATGCTGCAGGAGGAGGTGGGCGTGGCGGCGGAGGGGGCGCCCGCGGGCGCCGGGGGCCCGGGGAGCGCGGCAGCTGCCGGGACCAGCGGCTTGCTGATACTGATGCTCTCGTCCTCGTCGTCCCGCTCGGCGCCGGTGCTGCTGCTCGGCGAGCCGCCGCCCCCGCCTCGCCTGCCGCCGCCCGCGCCCCGGCTGGTGCCGGTGCTGGAGCTGCTGTCGGCGGAGCCTCTCCGGTCGCGCGAGGAGCCCACCCGGAGGAAGAGTGGCTGCAGCCGGGCGGTGGCGGGGGGCGGCGGGAAGGGGCCGGGCGCGGACGAGACCGAACGGCGGTTGCCGCGAGCCGGGCGCATTGTCCTCCGAGGGGCTCCCTCCCCGCCAACCGCGGGCCGGCGGGCGGCGCGGGGAGCCGGGCCAGCCGCCGCCGCCTCCTCCCAGCGGCGGGGCCTCGTGCCCGGGCGGGAGGGCGACAGCGAGACCCGGACTGGAGCCGCCTGACTGGGCGCACCAAGCCGCGGGCAGCGCGGGGCGCGGGGGGCAGAGTGGAGCCCACCGTGGTGACGCTGCGCGGCGGGGCGGGGGCGGACGAGCCCCGCCGGGAGGAGAGGGAGCTGGCGGCGCGGAAACCAGGACTGGATTCTGGGGGGAGGAGGCGCAGAGGCCAGGGAAGGAGAAAGCCTGGCTCGCGGATCAGCGGGAAGACGGGGGTGGGGGGGGGGGTGCTGAGGCGGGAGGAGCGGGAAGGAGAGGGCACACCTAGAAGCCCCACATTCCCACGGAAGTCGCTCCCAGGTCCCAGCAGCTGGAGCGTTAGTGATCCCGTGGACCTCGCCTCTAAGCACCAGACTCGGGCGACAGGTACCGGGGTCTGCTTCTGGCCAGCACAGCTTCTGTGGCGCGCAGCAGGCCGCTCCGGCCTCCACCCTCTTCCCTGGGCCGTCCCGCCTCTCCCCTCCCCTTCAGGCACTCAAAGTAACCGAGGAGGCAGGAGACCCTGACTGAAAGGACCAGGAACGGCAGCCCCATACAGGGCTTCCCACGCACTCTGTGCCCCTGGGTTCCGAGAGCAGGCCTGGGGGAAGCCTGACTTCCTTGAGTGGTGCCTTCGCCCGGTGTAAATGCGCCACAGGTGCAAGAATGGCCCGTTTGCCCTAGCCAAGAGGGGCTCTCGGTATTCTCAGGTTTTTAAAGCAGTAATTGGAAATAACAGCACACATAACTTAACAGAGAGGAAAATAACGGGACATTTAGAGTTACAGGTACCTTCACAAAAACAGTCTCAAAGTGGGTTATGGTGTATGTTACAGCCAGATGGCTGGGTGACAGAAAGCAAAGTGGTCGTACATTTCCGAGCTTGGAGCACATCCTGACTCAACCCCTGGACTTAGCCTGGGGCAGGCTCTCCAGCAGCAACTCAGGAAGGCACTGGGTTGAGTTATGCCTATAGGAGTTAGGGGAGAACAAAATGACTAGAGCAGCTGGGGCACAAAAGAAAAAAACAAAAACCCTGAAGTTCACATGTAATGCAAACGTCCCAGTAACATCAGAGCAGGGCAGGCACCTTGCCTGCCTGTCCTCGACACACTTCAGGCCTTACTTCATGCCCACTAAAGCTGCTGTTGCTGGGGCGCGCCTTGCCAGACACCAGGCAGCAGGAGGTGGGGTGCAATGAACCACAGCTTGCGTGCCCAGGTCTTGCCCCTAAATCTGCCTCTTGAATAAGGGTCAGTTTGAGCCAAACCTGCTTTTCTCTAGTCTCAGGGGTCAATCCATACAAAGAATCCATGGTGGATGCAGGATTTAGAACTCACAACCTGCACTATTCCACCTGCCCCTGGCACACACCACCTTGGAGAAGCTCTGTAGCCAGCTGGCAAACCAGAGCAGGCTGTGGTGGTGAGAGCATGAGCCCTGAGGCCGGGGCCTCTGCTCAGCCCCTTAGCCCATGTGATCTTGAACTGGTTATTTCACCTGTCTGAGCCTCGGGTAAGCCCATAGTGAAAAGTAACCAGTATCACCCTAACAAGCTGTTTTGAGTATTAAGAGAAGTCATGAATTCAAAGGGTTTGGCCTACTGCCTGGTTTGGAGCATGTACTCAGTTAAAGGTAGCTGATGTTACCATAATTCCACTTAGCTCTTGTCTGAACCTCCCAGGGAACATTTACTCATAGTACAAGCTGCTAATGACTGTTTTCTGGGCTGCATTCCTTCCTGAGGCCACATTCAGAGTTGTACTCTCCTATAGCTTTGCACTTCGGTAAGTGCTCGGGACCAAACTGCTCTAATTAGAAGCAGAAGTTCTTGGAACTGGCCTTCACAGGCTTCCCTGTGAAGTGTGAGATTCAGCTATGCCAACTGGGGCCCGGACCCAACCACATGGGGCAAAGTGGGAGCAGACAACAGATGCAGCTGGCACAGCAGGTCCACAGATGTCAGAGCTGAGCTAGTCTAGGTTAAAGAGTGGAGTGGGGAGCTGCCAACTGCTAATGGGAGTGATTATAGCCAGTCTCCCAGCTCTCCCAGGGGAACACTAGCCAACAGCTAACCTGAAAGCTGACCCAAGACTGATGTTCAAGTTAATGAAGTAGTTGAAGAAGCAAAAGCAGCTGATGAAGGCAAAGTGCTGGGCTCCTGAGACAGCACTGACCAGTCAGTCCCCATTCCCCATGCCCATGCCCACTCCCAGCCCACCCCCACCCCTGCCCCACTCACACACCCTCCCCTCCTCCTCTCACCTGACCAGTCTAGCTCCTCCTCCCACAGGTGCCTCCTGAGGAACAGGTTTCCTCCCTGGTGACTTGGATTATAATAGCCCTTTGAAGTTATCCTTTGTATTTCTGGGAACTGTATTGTCAATTTCTGGGGTCATATTAAATTTCTGTATGAAATTCTCTAGCTCAATTTCTTTCAGATCTGAGGCCCTGAATAAGGATGAGAAATCGAGTATACAATAGAGTAAGTTTGTGGCCTGGGTATGGTGGGATCTCCTCTTTGCATGGGTTTTTTCTAATCTTTCATGTACACACACAAACACACTGTGCTTCTGCCTGGAAAGAGTCTGGCAAAGGTATGACAAGGATGAGAAGAAGGAAGAAACAAAGACTTTCTCATATACAAAGTGGGCGCAAACATCCCCCAAGGATCTAGAAAAGGGAAGACATAGTCACCAAACACATCCTAAGCACCAAAGGTCCACACTAGGTGTCTTTCATACAATAGCTGGAAACCCAGAGACAGAGAGGTAAAGGAACTTACTCCAAGTCACACAGCCAGTTAAAGGGCAGAGTTAGGGTTAGATCTCAGCCCAGTGCTTTCACCTGCCACTCTTCTCACAAGCAGGGACAAACTAAGCAGGTTTCAATCAAAAAAATTTTCCCTGAGCATCTGTTAGATGCTGGGCACTGGGTAAGGCTCATCTGGAGACCTAATATTCTTATCCTGTAACGGAGATGCCAGGGGCTCACTGTCCTCCTGGAGCAGTGCAGATGGAGTGGGAGGGAGGGAGAGACGTCTGAGCCAGCTGAGCAGCAAGGGAAGCACAGTGAGGCAGCACCAGCCCCTCCTAACACTGAACTGAGGCCCTGCTCTTCACCCATCACTCCCGGTTTGTTGTCACCACTCTCTCACCTTCAGAGCAAGAACAAAGACCAGACCCAAAGGGGACCGTCATGTGTGAACAGACATAGCAAGACCCTGTGGTGGTTCTCAATTACAGTCACCACAGACTCTCAGAAGGAAAGGGCAGCTGGCCGGAACTGCAGCTGAAGCAGGATGATTCTGTGAAGCCTCAAAACTACTTGGAGAGCTCTCTGCAGACGACACTATGGCCACTGGATACAGAGATTCTCCGATACCCAGAGAGAGGCGGACCCTTGAGCTGCCCCAGGGATGGCTCACAATGATGCCACCACCCTCCTGGATAAAGGAGGGGTCCCTGCCTCAGTGTCACCAGGTATCAGTCCCTGCTGGGTGCTAGAGTTCCATGGAACAAATAAAACCTGGGTGTCCAGACCGGGAGGGAGACAGACATGTAAACAGTGAAGCACATTAAGTATTATGAAGGTGATGATCAAATTCTATGCAGGGTCCAAAAGAGGCACAAAGTGGAGTCAATAAAGCCTTCAGCCATGAGGAACCTGGGAGCTGTTGTGAAAGGTCAGCAGATGCCGGGTAGCATGCAGGCGATGGGGCTGGGTCAGGAGAGCTCCCAGGCTGAAGGGCAGCATGGGTATGGGGCCTAGGTATGCGGTAGCAGGGTACCTGTAAGGGATTCTGAGTATTTGGCACTGCTTAAATATCAAGTACACAGGGATAGTGCAGTGAAAGATATGGCTAAGGGCATAGCAAGGGCTGGGCTAGAGGACCTCAAATGCCAGGCTGAGGCTGGGCTGTATTCTGAGACTATGAGGAACTCTTGAAAGCAGAAGTGCAACAGGAACAGATACGCATTTTAGAAAATCTGCTCTGCAGTACAGATGACAGATTGGAGGGGAAAGTAGAAACAGAGACTATGTTCCACCTCTGGCAATACTAAAATTAAATAATAAAACATCCCCAACTTATAAAAACACTACAGATAATTTAACACCCCTTTAAATGTACAGTTACATGAGAAAGATAACTTTGTGATGCCATAATTGAAGAGGAAACTAAAAACCAGGATGGTAAGTGATGTAAATGTTGCTGTGAGTGCCTGCAAACTAGTCTGTCTCACTAAGGAGAACCAGGAAAAGAGACAGCTCAAAAGAACCCACCTACAGGAACCTTCCTCCACTGCTGGTGGGAATATAAGCTAGTTCAACCATTGTGGAAAGCAATATGGAGGTTCCTCAAAAAACTCAAAATAGAAATACCATTTGACCAAGGAATCCCACTCCTTGGAATTTACCCAAAGAATACAACTTCTCAGACTAAAAAAGACATATGCGCATTCCAGGATTAAAGATGGCAGTGTGAGAGGTAAGACAGATGCTTCCTCCTAAAACCGCATATAACATGAAAATATAATTAATACAACTAATCCTGAAAGAGCAACAGGAAAGAGGACTGGGCCAGACTGCATACACCTGGAGAAAAGAATAAACCCCATGGAACAGGGTAACGTACCAAAGCTGTGCCCCGGCGGAACCCAAGCCCTTCCCCCACTCCAGCTCACTGGCAGGAGGAAGAGAAATGGAGTGGGGAGGAAGTGGAGGCCTGGGACTGCTGAATACCTAACTCTGGAGATCTGCTCTGGGAGCACAAAACTACATTTCATGGTGCATTCATGAAACTCTTGTGATTAGGGGATTGGAAAGCTAAGACAGGCAGAATTCCTGGAGAGAATGAGATTCCAGCCGCTTGTGGAAGGCA